GGTTTTCTCTCTGTCGTTGTACTACTTGTAGTGGCCCCGGCGCTGGTTGCCCAAGTCCTTGACCCACCACCGGTGATATGGGTATGTCTCTTTACACAACGATGACCCTGCATTGCCTCACCTGTTTACTTTCACAGAACGCCAGTGTCTCGCAGTACAAAGAGCGGCTTGATGCTGCAGCGAATGCTCTGAATAAAGGATTCAAGATGTTAAGCGACGGAGGACGAGTTGTGACAGATGATCCACACCCTTTGCAGAGGACTTTCGCTTTCTACTCGACTCTGGCACAATTTGATAACGCAATAAACGGATCGAAACACTATGTTTTTGTTTCGAAACTCTTGAAAGCGGGTTTTACCTGTCCTGACTGCACCGAAAAGGTGAAAATGTAGGTTTAGTTTCTCCTTTTCATGTCTAGGACATTGCTGATGAGCGAGTAGATAAATTTCTGTCTTATTTCACCTATTTCACCCTCTGTTTTGCTATATAGGTTTACCCTAGGATGTAAGTTAGCCGCCTTGTCTCGAGGATTTCGAGACTAATCGTAACGACAAGTCAATTGGGTTCTGCTGTTTTGGATGCGTATGCGGTGTACAACGATGATTCTTTACTGGAGAGAGCCAAAGACTACTGGGAGGAGGCGAATGAATACGCTATTCATGACTCGAATGAACACTCCCGGAAAAACTTCTCCGTCGTAGAATCGTGTGGGAAACTGTGCGTATCTTATACAGTGGCTATTCACGAAGCTAAGTACCTGTCAAAAGGACAACAAAGGGAGCCGTCTTCAACGTACGTTTTCAACGGCTTGTCATCTTATTGATAACCACTAATGTTTGAGAATCGTAAGGATACTGGCAAAACCAGTCCGGAGATTTCACTGTTGGCAACCGGGTAAGCCGCTTTGGTCATGTTGAGCTTGGTGTCCCTGACCGAGCTATGATTGGCAGCGAATTTTTCAGGTAACGCATTTCTCGGCATAACAACTCCTTGTTGTTAAATTATCATCACAAATATCCCTACCAGGCTCTCTGCGTTGCTCGCAAATGCAGGTAGTGTGTATAGTACAGCAGCCCAACAATCTGGAGATTTCTTAAACGCGGTCCTTGATCTACCTCCTAGAAGCGAATCTGGATACGAAGAAACAGAGCCTCCTATCAAGGTGGACTCCCAAGAGTGCAACAGTCCTTTTGCACTTCCTGGGACCGTGTACCTGTCCACACTGGGGAACTTTATCGAGGGCCTATCTACAATCGTGCTTACCACGAATAATAGCACTGCGCTACAGAGGTGATCTCGTATATTATTTATCTAAGAGCTCATGATGGTTACTGACTATGAGATCCTAGGATTGAGGAAAAATTATCTACTCTGTTTTACAAGGAGCAGAGGCCGTTTGGCGTCAAATTTTGGTCAGGCACAACAGGCGTGTTCTTATCTCCTTGCCGTAAGCGACCCCAAGCTAGTTAGTCTAAGTCTGCGAATTCCAATCACGCATTACTTGTAGCAAATATAGATGGGGATACGTCCCTCCTCAGGGGGCTGATTACTGCGTCCCAGATTCCAACATTGAGGTCAGACGTGCGCGCTTTCATAAAAGCCTTCTTCGCAGTACAGGTATGTGTTTGTTTGGTATCTATCTACGATGTCGAAGGGACAATAACTTTAACAGTACAATGCAATTCACAGCAATATGGGGCAAGACAATATGTACGGGTGCGCATGGGGGAATAAAACAAACGCAATGGAACTTTCATACAATGCAACAGCACAAACCAGTGCATTGCAGGTATTAATCGGCGGAATCAATTTTTTCAATGAAACCAATCAATCAGTCACCTCATCCACAATACCTTTCCCCACCAGCTCTAGCACACCAAGGTCTCACAGTTCAAGGAAGACTCCAGTCGCTATCATTGCAGGGAGTGTGGCAGGGGGCGTCTCTTTATTCATTCTTATAGCCGTGTTGGTTTACATTCTTCGATATCGACGACGAGGAAAAGGGCACTTTGCGGGTTTACCAAGAAATACATGGGGTCCATTTTTTGCTGATCCCGGGGTGCAAGTCACTCCTTTTGTGTGGAGTCCGCGTGACTTCACCTCCGCGGTTCAGGTCCGAACTAAACCGTACCGAACCATAGGCCAAACGCCCCACATCCCACCAACACAACAGGAAAACTCATCCGCCACTATCTCTGGCGATAATGATATTATCAGTTCAGTATCACGGTCACCAAATCCCCTTGGAACTCTGGCATCAGAGACCATCACCGCAGTCGACAGGAGGCCCTCTGATATCATGATGCCTATGGGGACATCCCTTCCGGAGATGATTCGAGTGCTGTATTTCAGGTTATGGGAGCGGGATGGTGAGAGCAACACAATCAACTCTTCAAACGATCGAAGACATTCGACGTAAAATGGGTCGAAGTAGTGAGGCGTCAATAGCCACGATAAATTAGATAGTATTGTTAATCCTGGACTTGGGAATCGGCGAGAACCTTGTTTGTTACCGTAACTGTGGACGATAAACCGAGTCGAGATGTAGTTATGAGTATATGATACACATATTCGTGATATCTTCGGGAATATGGGTAAGAAAGTGGATCTAAAAGTAACACGACACGTAGTGAAGCTGGATTCGTTATTGCGCTTCTGTGATTCAGTGTGATTGGACGATCGAAACCAGTACGGATAAAACAATATCCAATCCCCAGGAATTGGGCGTCACATATGCCTTCAACACGGACTGCCACAAATCATCCGAATTGACCGTGTTTCTAGTAGTCCTTAATCGGAACCAACAGCACGGCCCTCCAGCTCTGTGAGAACCCATGCTCGATCAGAATCAGAGACCATCACTTTTGTGAACAGGCGACCTACCAATTGATTTCGATGGAAACATCGCTTCCATGGGAGCAGGGCGACTCGATCAACTCGTCGAATCACGTTCGCAGAGATTTAATGTAAAGGGATTCGAGTTAGGAAGATGCACATCGTTTCATTAGACTAACGGGGAAATATCATATGGCGATCTTGGAGGCTGGGGACCTAGCTATTCGCCGTACTAGGGATGATAAACTAACGAATGCTGTCGCGAGTATAATAACTCGAATAACAGGTAAGAACGAGAACGATATCGAAAACTAAGCGAACAGTACTCACCGAATTTATTTGTTGGTCATGATTGTTATTTTAGGTACACAGGACTTCTTTGGCGGTTTGGCTCGGGCCTGGAAGCTAAGCACAAATGAATGTTCCAGCAAGCACATAAAGGGCGCCCAACTATCACCGCGAAGCCAGTTGCAAGATGAGGGACATGAGAATCGCATTGACAATCATCGTGGTCAAAGGACAAGAGCCTGAGGTAACCAGTATGAGGCGGGTGACTCGTGACTGTGACAGTCACACCTTTCCTTGTCATTACGCGTCCATTGTAACTTGTTGGGATCCTCAATTCTCCTGCACCACCCACGGAAGGTCCTCCAAACTCACTCAAGTGAAGCTTCCAAGCTATAAATATTACATACTCTCGTCATAGAACCAGAGCTCATCTTCTTGACTCCCTTGGTACTCACTAGGGGACCGCTTTTCCGAATGTGACGACTATCTCAATGCCCTCGCCTCCCGTCCTTTTGGCCTCGATCTTTCCTGAAAATCCAGTTTAATATATACTCCTCTACGTCTCTAGAGCTTCAATACCTCTAAACTGTCCACCTTGGTTGGTACTAGCGCCGCAGGACGGGTTGAAAAAGAAGCCGAATGGCGATGGCTAAGGTATGTTTTCAGCGACTCCTACCGACAAACACTCCTCACCTGATTACAGCTTTACTGTCTACCGATCGCGAAGAGAGAGATATTAGAGATACATTTCGGGCAGCCTTGGTGCGTCTCTGTGTCCCTTTTTTCAGTAAGTGCTAACTGCATCCTCAAACTCTTAATCAGTGACCATCATGCCCATGCCCAACGTTCCCTTCTCCACTTTCACCCTTTTGACACCCTCGCTGGCCCATATACCAGTCCCTTGCTCAAGATACACAGCTCCTGAATCATCCTTCGCCACTGCGTAGACCCACGCTCGACTCTCGTGCACGCAGGCATATGTTCCGCGCTCACGACTCCCCCGCTCGTCTCACCGCTTTTGTTCAGGGAGCGATGATGTTAGTTCTTACTGGAGTGACGGTTATGGTGCAGGTTTGGGTTCGGGGGCGTTTGGTCGTACATCCTTTCTTTTTTTCGTGTGTTTTCAAGGGGGCTGATGGGGAAACGGGGGAACAGCGATTATCAAGTACCTGCCGATGTTACTTTCTACGAGGTCTGGGTATGGGTATGGGTCTGGGCCAAGAGATAATGCGGGGTTGTTAGGGCAAGGTGGGGATGAGGATGCCTATGACATGCAGGGTGTAAGAGGAAGTGGGAAAAATTCCGCCTCCGTAGCTTCACTCATCCGAGACCCGCCGAGGTGCTGCCGGAAGATACTGCGATGAGTAATTCCAGACTATTGGGTGAGAAGGGAAACGTCGTACCACTCTTACAAGTTCGAGAAATCACATCGTTCCCACTGGAAACACTCACACCACGCTAAACGCTCCCCCTCCGACTCAGAACACGACAAGACGCAGAAGACACAGACACAGAAGAGCAGGAAATCGAACCCCAGACCCCCAATGCGAAGATGACGACGACAAATCACACGCATCTGATCATCCTTCGACATATAAACCGCAGAGGTGGATTTGGGTGCCTTGGTTCATGTTTTTCTTCCTCTTTTCTCCTTCCTTTCCGCCTCCTTTTCGTGAGTTATAGGCCGCTCCCTAGTCCCAAAGACAACGGCGCTGAAGCCTCCGATGAAGGTGCTAATATGAAAGATGTGGTTGAGGTGACGAGGGGGACCGTCAGAAGAGTAATTTATGAGTGGATTTATGTGGTTTGTGTATATACGGTAATTTGCATTTAGGGTATCATTGATCGGATGAAAAGAGAAGGGCAAAGCAGGACATGTCCTGGTCGATTAGTGGTTAAATCATCTCGTTGTGGTAATCACGGGCAGCTCGTTGAACTACTCCGAGAAGCCGAGGGCTCGACTCCCTCCCGGGACAGTAACTGCGTTTTACTTCTCAAGTTTTTATTTTTTGCCGACTTGATACTGTTTGGAGCATTTATAGGCGAGCCGTATCAACCCAACTTGATGAGCAGGAAGAAGTGGACTTAGGTAACCGTACATCATGAAGGAGTCTGCCCTTGAACGTGCTAGCGTGAAAATGAATCAACATGTTTATAATTAGGCGTGCTTCGTGAAAGTACGAGTTAGATTTATTACCGTATGAAGCGCTTCGAGCGCGTTACTTCATGAACATCACATCATCCTATCCAGTCCAGTTGAAAGCACGAGCCAAGCGCGTGATAGTGGAGCCTTATCTTAGTATACCTGAGCACGAAACGTGGACCGAGCTCTGTCGCCCACTTCCTGATGGACGATACCTTACTCTCTGTTCTCGAGAAATCATTACCTTGAGATCGGTATGCCTCGAGCTTTGTGAACTCGGGGAATAAGTTCTGTGAGGCCGATGACTTTACAACGACCATCAACCGAGTACTTCGATTGGTGTAAAAGTCCATGACCCTGACACGTACTGGTATTTTCATTTGTGAAAGGATTCAACCGACATTCCGATATCCTTGCGCAGGAGTTTGTTGGGGTTGGTACAGTCGATGATTTTCAGGTCTGGAATTGCCTATTTGTTGTGGCGAGTGATGACAGCAGGTTGTACCGATCTGGATACAATACTCTCTCTCCTTTAGAACTGCAAAAACTATGGAAGGGAGCACTATTTCAGGTAAGCTCTTTCTCCATTCGACATATCGATCATTGTGTAGCTCAGGAGCGCAATAACTATGATTTTTAGCTTTATGTATGCGTCGATTGCGTTAAAAAAGCACTCGACTCCGTGATTCCGCGATTTTTTTGAGGGCTAAATGGTCAATGCGAGTCTTTCTCGTATCGATATTGGGTAGGAACTTGGCAAAGCATTGAACGCCGCAGGAATCACAACTTACAACTTACCTCATTTAAGACCGCTTCATGAAATGGTCTGTGTGTTCCTTTCCGATCTCATCTACCCGATCTCCCGTTCTACTTCTGATCAGGGAATACTTCATTGTCCTTCGTGCCTCACGTGTTCTGCTCGAAACAGCCCAGTAGCTGGGAGAAGAGGGGGTAAACCGTGCAGTTCTCCCGCAGTACCAGCATTTATCAGTTTATCAGGCGTCCGTATTAGCGTTTATGATGCAGGCGTGTAACGTTACTCAACTGAATTGTGCAGAGGTGTTACGCAGTTATATTTGGTATGGTTCCTGTCTGTTATCATCATTGTTGATGGAATAGCACCAGTGCTGTAGCCTGTGACTTGATTGTCGTTTGCGTTGTTTCTGCAGAGGCGGATGAATACATCAGCCATCTTCCAAACTCGTTCGGTCAAGTAGCCAACTCCTTCGAGATACCTGAATTTGTATTCCTTGAGACTGTGGGTATGAGGGAACTTCCGGCTCGGCGTAATGGCGCGAATAGCCGTGACCAGACCTTGACGATGCTATACTTTGAGCTCGATATGTCAAGCCATCGATATCAGAATGATCAATGAATGTGGGCCTTTTCCATGGACAAGGTGAGCGCTGATGAACAGTTACTTGAACTATGGACATCGTAACCTTCCTGGTATATCACATTACTGTGAGACCATTCACATTAGCCATGATAGATTGTGTTCTTGGTTTAGAGATCAACTTACAGATCCTTGCGTTTGTACTTGTCGCTTTCAATTCCTCTTGCTCGTCACAAAAAAACCTGGGCTCCCTACTCAGAGTGCCCTAGCAGAGTTCGATTCTCGGGAAGACTATCTGGGCGATACAAGCGCGCATCATGTCTATGATGTTCCATACCCGCTGTTCCTCTGATGATTCCTGGAGTGAACTGGCTTGGAATGTGTCCGACGAATAGTGGAAGACTATTTCGTTGGGAAGCCTGAGAAATATTTGATGGGATCAGTACGAAAGGAACCTTGGTTGTTCCTTGTATTTGTGGACGATAAACTGAAGTGGATTGAGAACAGCAGTATATGATATTTACATCTTTACCTAGACTTTGGCGTCAATATGGTAGCTTGAGGTTACCAAATTCCGTCTTTGCTATCTGACTGGCTCACGGCCATCATGATGAACGGCCACTCGACTTCTCCGTACGCCCCAGTCAGAATCAGATGGCTGTTGTGTTGACAACAGTCGAACATGAAGCCATATAACCATAGACTCGTACGATCCTAGAGTAAGCCTTTTCTTCTTCCCCGTCATGAGTTATCGCAGTGACACCACTTATCCTAGGCGTGTAATCGTTGACGATACCGATCCGAGAGTCCAATATGTTGGTGATTGGACACTTGACGTGGGATCGTTCGATAACCTTGGCATACCTGGACCTCCATACAACCATACCCTTTGGGGCACCAAGCAAGATGGTGCAAGTTTTCTTTTTGATTTCGAGGGTACGTGAGTGCTTCGCTGTTTTTTTGTCTCCAGCCTGATATGTAGAATGCTTCAGGCGAGTTTATACAAGTACGAGGAGCGAAGGACAACCCAAAACTTCCCCCAGATCCTGATTTAGTGCCCTTTGAAAATGTGACCCTTCTTGCTAAGTGGTCCTGTACAGTGGATGGAGACGCTATCACCCCACTTAGTCATCTCGATGATACGAGCTATATGACCCATATTGTTCTGTGCGAACAAGGATTCCTATCCCGAAAAAAACACACCTTGAATCGTACCGTTTTCATCGAGGATCCCGATACACAGATGTTCTGGGTAGACGAGATCGAATACCAGCCCTTGGAAGTTGCTGATCTTCAGAACGAGATTTTGAAGATTAATTCCAGCGATTCCAGTGTGGAGTACCATAACGAAAGCAAGATGTGGTTTCCGGACCCACAAAATATCATGTACAATCAGACTGGGACGACGGGAATAACTGCGACGCTTAGTTTCACACGTATGGGTCAGTACGTTCGGACGGTTGGACAAGCTCTTACACTTCAGCATCTCAGGAACTCAAGTCGTTTTGTACGGAATCAATAGGGGCTTTGATCTAACGAAGGGTAGCGCTCGGTATCGAATCGACCATTCGATGGAAGTTGATTTCGAGACGCCGGAGAGTCGATTAGCGCCCGATGGGCTTAACACGTCGGATTATTACCACCAACTCATCTTCACCACGCCGAAACTCAAACTCGGCTCTCATGAAATCGACATCACGTTCACGGGCCCGGGAGAAACGGAAAAGCCTCTGCAGTGGCTGACTATTGATTACTTTTACATCACGTCGGGAGAAGATGCGGCGCAGTTAAACTATACTGGAACCAACGGCAGCACAGGAGGTGAAACTATCCAGGGTGAATCTCCAAACTCCGAGTCGAGGACACCAACAGGCGCTATTATTGGTGGTGTGTTGGGTGGCGTGGTCGGTCTGGTTCTCCTTGTTGGGAACATTTTATTGGCCCTTAAATGTCGGGGTAAACGCATATCTGAGCGTCCAGGAGTAATCGATCACGAGAACATCTTCGCTTCTCCCGAAATATTCTCTCATGGCATAACATCAGAGCCCCTCACGATCTCTGAATTTGGTGCCAGCCCCCCATCTACATCCTATTCCACTGCCGAGCCATGCATTCCATCGAATTGGAAGGATATGAAAAATGCTCAGCGAAACGCAGTAGCAGAGGCAGTGGTTGAGAGGCGGCATCAGGATAGCGGGATCAGATATTCTCAACGTGGTGGACATTCCGCCAAATTATAGCGTTGAATGAATGCACATCAGATTTATTCAATATTTGCACGTCCTGTTTACTCTTGTACTTTGGGAACCTTGTGCATTCACGGAGTGAACGTTTGACAGCTTTGCACCTACGGAGTATAGAAATTTACAGAGATCACAATTCCAATCAAATTTCGTTCCGTCCACCCGGAGAGGCTCTTTTCTGGAGATTGATCTAAATCAAGAATTTAAAACTATTCTGTCAGCCAAATCTTCCCTCCATCCTGTGAATAGACCGGGAGTTGGCTCTGATCCTTTAGTCACATACCTATCAGACTTGGATACGTTGAAGAAGACAAAAGGTAGTGATTCGGAGGACTTGATCGATTCAGCGTACCGATCTCTAATTCTTAAACCAGTGGGAATAGGCCCAAGAGCAACCTAAATATCGGTCTTTACTCGCATAAAAAACCAAGGATCTGATGAGACATCGCAGCGAAATCAGGTTAAACTGGTGCATACAGTAATTGAGTAACGCATATAGGGTACATTCAGCCAGCTTCAAACAGCTTCACATCAAATCTCATAGGTGAACCCTACTCCGAGCCCCGTCTGTACGATAATCAGCGTAGGCGCTATGCCCTGAACCAATAGTCAGTCAAGGATCTGGGATACCAGCGCTGCTCATACGAACCAGAGCTAGGCCTAACAAGTAATAAATTATTTTTATGAGAACTGGAGACTGAACTGCTACCCATACAAGTAAAGTTGCAGGATAAAGTAGTCCTGACTCGACCCTAGACATTTCAGCATCAGATAACGAAGGGAAATTGTTGGAGTTGTGATCTAAAACGCACGTAGCGATAACGATCGTGTTGTACATGGTTAGTACTCTCTGATTCAGGATAGCCTTTGTCCTGTGACGGATATAGAGGATTCTACTCGCTATATATATCGAGCAAGAGCCGTCAGCACAGTATGGCGAATGGGTACTCGCCCTCGTACCAATTAGACAGGTCAAACCCAGGTGAATTGTGACGTTGAATATGATGAATGGCAGTGAACGTGACTTGAGGATCACAGGAAACGGCCCAAGATAGTGGGTGTGAATTGCGAGAGGCATCAAACTGCCCAGCGCCGCAGCTAAGAACCTAGATGAGTCAAATCCTCCCACAATAATTTTGACGGTGTAGTATAGCGTTGGGTAAAATCTGGAGCAAACTTACCAATTTCAAACTTACAAGGTAAGTTACTAGTAAGTTACTGGTAAGTTACTGGGGGACCCCGAAGCACCCAGGT